ACTATTTTTCCTGATATTTTAACTCTAATTCTTTAACTTTCAATTTATATTCAAACTCCTTTTCTATTCGTTCTATTTCCAGTTTAAATTTCCATTCCTGCTCTTTTTCGAATTTATCTTTTTCCCATTTTAATTTTTCTTCTTCTATTTCTAAACGTTTTTGTGCTATACTTAATGATTCTTTTTTAGCTTTTTTCAATGAGTTTAGCTCATCCAAATAAATTTGGTCGACTTCGGAAACTTTTTGTTTTTTTTGTTTTGAAGTGGTAATGGTGCAATTTTCATCACTTTCAACAATCTAAATTTTTAAAAAAATTTATAATTAAAAAAAGACTTTGATTAAAATGCACTATAGTGTTTTACGTCTATATATATAGATAATTATTTTTGAACCCAAACCAACTTTATATATAAACGTAATAACATTTTGGTCTAAATTCAAAAATAATCTCCATCTCAAAAACTGGATAAAAAAGACTGTATTTAATATGGTAAGCAGATTTATTATTATAGTCAACTCTCAATTTTAAACAGTCTATTTCTGATTTGTAGCTTGTGTTCACTTTTTACAGAGTCTATTAAAAATCAGATTATCTATATTCGGATTTAGTATTAGGAGAATTGACTGTATAATAGTAATGAAGCTTAAAAATTACTCTTATTCTAATATATTTCTAATCCTAGAACTTGTTATTACGTAGATGCAGACATATTATTATAACTAGTTACGATCTTATTACGTGCATAAATATATCTGCACCTATACTTGTTATATCAAGATTGTATAGTATATTAAATCTTACCTTATCATCAATGCTTAAAATCAAATAATCGGGTTTCACATTTTCATGATTGCTGAATAACTCATTCATCTCATCTAAATATGGCCATTTTGACCTGGCCTTTCCTGTTCCTTCTTTATTCTCTTTGTCGTATCTTGTTCTAAATGTCTGAACTTTTGAATCTACCTGTGCACTAGTTCTATTATTGCCAATCTTAATTGCTGCAGCAGCATAAAATTTTGGTTCGTTTTTATGATATAAATCAAAATTATTGCTAAAATAAGAAAGCAAAGCACTGGTCTCGGAATCAGTTCAAAATTTATAACTGGGAATAGAACGAATAGAAAAGGAGTTTGAATATAAATTGAAAGTTAAAGAATTAGAGTTAAAATATCAGGAAAAATAGT